TATATATATATATATATACATATAATATGTACATATATAGTAAGTTTCTAGTGATAACATTCAGTATTACTGAATCCTATTGGCTAGAAATACATGTTAAATTATTCTAGGAAATCAGTTTAGTACCTAAAAAGTAAAACTTTGCAAACGCTTTAGTTTTTAATAGATTTATGAAGGTAAAATACAAGGACAAATTAATTAAAAATAATAAGTTTACGATTGAGATAAATGTCCAACTAAGTACAGTACTTCCTTACAGGTACATACTCGAAGCTATTTTGTTTGTGCCTTCGTTAACTAACAGTCATACATTATGAAATGATAAAGGTAGAAATAAAAGGTCAAACGGTGGTTTAAGAACTCAAAATTACGAAAGCAATTGTGTACATTTAACTAAAAAAATATATTTAAGTACTTACCGATATGTCGACGGTTGAAATAATTGCGTTCCTCGGTCCGTTAACTTTACAAATATAGTATAGTATTTCCGAAAATACAGCGAATTATGTAATTTATGGACATATATATGTATTTTATAGAAATGTCAGTTTAATTGTTGAATTCCCGCGATTTCTTATTAATATTTACTGATTTTTCTGTATAATAATAAATACGATGGAGAACGTGTCTAGCGTCATCTATAGGAAAATACTGAAAGTATCGGCCAATTAACACAGACTGAAGATACGCAGTTCAGACGGTTGCAGCTTATGGGGATTTTTGTGAAGGACTTCGGGGATTCTTGGAATGGGAGTATCTAGTAATTTATTCGATAAAATAATATTCCGCGTGAGATCTGCATTCGTGGTATATGGAAATAAAATGAAAAGTATCCTACTAGTTATTACGATTCTGCGTGGATGAATCGTAAACAGAAACGGTACGTACCACTAGGCACCAACAAATGTTACGTTGAACTTGAACCGAAATTTTCAAAGGGATTGCGCAGCAAGTATTTGGTAGTCACGTATTTCGGTACGTCATTTTGAAATGGTTCAGAAACGCGTTGGACAACTATGTGTTTTATATGATTCGTGGTTGCGCAGAGCATGCTCGATGAATCGAGCGGTCGAACTGTATCGAGCAGGAAAGAGGGAGTCGTCCGAGGAGGGGGTAAAAGGGAGTGGAGTGCGCGGTTGTCCGGGCGGCCATTACGGATACTTTGTCCGAAACCGCGAATGCGATTGACTGCTGTACGTGATACCAGCGAAATCCGAGAAAATCAAAGGTCATCCTCGAAGAAAGGTGGTGTGTGTCAAGCCCGGGACGCGTACGAAACCTCGGCCCGATGGCTGAATCCGACAAATTGAATATCGACGACATTATAGCTCGGCTCTTGGAAGGTAAAGTTTCTCT